TGTTATGAGTCATTTTACACAGCGTGGGAAAATTCAAAGAACTTTCCCACACTGTGTAAAATGACTCATAACACTCATAACACTCTGATTGGTGGATAACCAATCAGAGTGTGATGAGTCATTTCCCACAGTGTGGGAAAATTCAAAAGAACTTTCCCACGCTGTGTAAAATGACACAGAGCACTCTGATTGGTTATCCACCAATCAGAGTGTTATGAGTCATTTTACACAGCGTGGGAAAATTCAAAAGAACTTTCCCACGCTGTGTAGAATGACTCATAACACTCTGATTGGTTATCCACCAATCAGAGTGTTATGAGTCATTTTACACAGCATGGGAAAATTCAAAAGAACTTTCCCATGCTGTGTAAAATGACACAGAGCACTCTGATTGGGTGGCTTTCAAGCCACTCAATCAGAGTGCTCTGTGTCATTTTACACAGCGTGGGAAAGTTCTTTTGAATTTTCCCACGCTGTGTAAAATGACTCAGAGCACTCTGATTGGCTTAAACCCGCCAATCAGAGTGTTCTAAGTCTAATTGCAGGGCGGGGCAAGGCTGTATAAGCCTTGACCCGCCCTGCGGAGCTCAGTACGCGGCGTGCCCTCGAAGGGCGAACATGGATTAATTTTTTTTGCGCTCGTTTTTTTTTTTTTTTTTAAAGTGCGACGGGTATAATGGATTTTTTTTTGGCCTTTTTGGGGGCTGAAGAAAGAAGATTTTAGAAAAAAGAAGACGTCAAATGGTAAGTTTAATTGTTTTTTTTTACAGGTTAGTTATTTTATTCCCCCCTCACTATTTTTGGTGGGGGTAGATAGAGATAGGTTTTGGGTGGGGGGTTACACACAGGGGCTTGGGACCCTAGTCACGTGATTGGGGGTGTTTCATTTAGGGGCCCCACCACGCTCAGGGGTGGGGGCCAGAGAGGACAATGGATTCCCCCCCTTATTGTTTAATGGGGCCCCACACCCACGGCGCGGGGTGGGGGCCAGGGAGGACAGTCGTTCCCCCCTTATTGTTTTACTGGGGCCCCCCTGCAGCTCAGGGGTGGGGGCCAGAAGGACAGTAGGTCCCCCCCTTATTGTTTTTAATGGGCCCCACCCACGGCTCAGGGGTGGGGGCCAGAAGACAGTAGGTCCCCCCCTTGACATTGTTTATTAGGGCCCCCCAGCCACTGCGCGGGGGGTGGGGGGGCCGAAGTTAGAAGTTCCCCCATATGTTCTGGGCCCCACATGAGGGGGTGGGGGCCGGGGGGGAGGACAGTAGGTCCCCCTTATTGTTTTATTAGGGCCCCCACCCACCGCGCAGGGGTGGGGGCCAGGGGGGGGGCCAGAAGTCCCCCCCCATATTTTATTTAGGGCCCCCACCCACCGCTCAGGGGTGGGGGCCAGGGGGGGAGGACAGTAGGTCCCCCCCCTTATTGTTTTATTAGGGCCCCCACCCACCGCTCAGGGGTGGGGGCCGGGGGGGAGGACAGTAGGTCCCCCCCCCTCATTATCTTCATGGCCCCCACCCGCCGCTCAGGGTGGGGGAGGGGGGAAGGACAATAGGTCCGCCCCCCCTTATTGTAATTTATGTCATTTTTTTTCAACAGTGAGCAGCCACAGGCTGCTCACTGTTTAGTAGACATGCCCCTACTCGCGGTATAGCGAGTAGGGGCATTTGGGAGATTTTAATCTCCCTTGTGCTATTATGGGGGTCATATTGACCCCCATAGAGTGAGAGGGGGACCTGGGGGGGCTTATGAAGTGGTGGGGAGCACTGCTCCCTGCCGCTTCTATCTTTCCATATTACAAGGAGGGAGCTGCATGCCGGTAGCTCCCTCCTTGTAATAAACTGAACGAACAAACTAACACTGATACTCAGATACACTGATACATTGTGTTAGTTTGTTCGGCTGATATTTCTATTCACTCATTCGTCTGTCTGATGAATGAATGAATAGATGAAATTCCCATTCGCATGTCCAGGTGTTTCACTGGGCATGTGCGGGAATCTCACAGGCTATCTAGTGTGGGCTGATGACGTGTCCCACAGGGACTTCATCTACCCACACAAAGATGGCGGCGCCCTGAATCAAGATTGGGGCAGAAAATAAGGATTAAAAAATGTGGGGGACTTAGGGGCATTTGGGGGTGACTAGTGGGTCAATTGGATGTAGTGGAGGCGGGAGGGGGGGTTAAAAAAAAAAAAACGAGATTCGGCATGACAGTGCCGCTTTAAAGATATATAACCCATACTAATAGAGCTTCATTTTTCTCTCTTTTTTGTGTTTGAGGTAAGGTTTTTATGAATTAATGAGGTGTACAGGGTTAAGGATCACTTATCACATTATGGAAATTTTTATGTCTTAGGGCGCTTTTGCCTGGAGAGTTCCTTGGCCATATGTGTCCTTATTGCTACATATAATGAAATGCTGAATAATGAAAAAAAGGAGCAGTAGTGTGCATGTGGCTGGATTTGTGAGTTAGTTATAGGGATAGCAATGAAGAGGGCTGAGGATAATAAATAAATGAGTTAGGGGTACTCTAAGTTACATTTTCCTTTTTTTTACACTATAAGGCATTTGTAATTTGTGTATAAATGATGCACACAAGATTAAGGAATTTTCATTACAGTGTGAGCAGGATATCACTTTGCTGCAGAGGGATTTGCATAGAAAGGGGGGCAGGGCAATCAAATGGCATATGAAATTTAATGTAGAAAAATACAAAGTTATGCACTTTGGGATAAACAATGCAGCTTATAGCTAAATGTTAGTGAATAAGGGATAACAACACACAAGAAGAATTTGGGAATTGTTATAGAAAACAAACAAGGCCACAATGTCAATTGGCAGTTGTTAAGGCCAGTAAGGTATTGCCATGTATAAATAGGGGCATTAATTATCAGGATAAAAATACAATGTTGCTTCTTTTTAAATCAATAGCAAGACCACGGCTTGAATATGCTGTGCAATTTTGGGCTCCTGAATTAAAGCAGGATGATATAGCACTAGAAAATGTGCAGAGGCAGGCTACAAAATGAATACAAGGAATGGACCATTTAAGTTATGAAGGGAAGTTAACAAACTATTTTTGTGTAAAAGCATTACACAAATATATTTGGGGACAATACAAACCATTGTCTGGAAATCTATTCATAAACAGGACCATGCATAGGACACAAGGTCATGCATTTAGATGGGAAGAAGGGATATTTAGTCCAAGGCAAAGGAAAGTTTTTTTCACAGTAAGAACAATAAGGATGTGGAATTATCTGCCTGAAGAGGTGGTTTTATAAGAGTCTACACAGATGTTTAAACAGCAACTGGATGCATACTTGCAAAAACCTTAATATTAATTTTTAATTTGTGGGTTAATAGCTTCTTGATCATAGGATAACTCTCACTGCCATTCTGGGGTCAAGAATTAATTGTTTCCTAGTTTGTTGCAAAATTAGAATTGCTTCATACAGATTTTTTTGTCTTCTTTTGGATTAACAGCAAAAACAGATATGAGAAAGTCTGAACTTCATGGATGCATGTCTTTTCAGCCAAACTATGTAACTATGTATATTAATTTGGCATATGATTAACAGGCACTTTATATATTAATAATAAGGAAGTACACATGATTCAATTACCCTACATTTTTATTTGAAATATTGTGCATTAAAGCATTAAAGATGCATATAAGCACAAGGAATTTGTGCATGTTTTTGGGAGAAACTAAGGAAAAAAAAAAAAAGATAAAAGGAGGGGGGATTTAGTATAACCTTTTAAAATGACACCTTTTCAACTACACACCTTTCTTGTCCTAAGGTTGGAGTAGGAGTAGTTGCAGGGGTTTGCAATATCCCCATAATTTAAGTGTGAGGGAGGTAAATAGATGTTATGCTTATTTGTGTAATTTTGTCGGTAGACTGGAGGATCTCAATTTAGTATGTCGAGTTAAGGGAAGTAGGGGTATGTACAGTTGGGATAGCACTTACATTTGTAAAAAATCAATGTTCAAGGGCTGAACAGGTTAAACCAATGGTAGTCAGTTTTTTTTACCTACAGCCCACTAATGCATCTTTCTTGATGGAAAAATTTCCTTAGCGCCCACCAGTTTTCGCGCAAGTGCGGAATATTTTTTAGAAAGGGGGGTGTTTTAAAAAAAAAATAAATGTATGTACATTTATCTTTTTATTTCTACTTAATGCATGTTTATAATGTTTTTAACTTTATAAAGTTCAATGAGAAAACAATAAAGTAAATTGAAATTACCTTTACTAGTGATTAATGAGATCTTTGAGGTTGATGCTGCGAGACTAAATATTTGATATCTGGTTCGATTTTCGTAAGGAACAAACAAAGGTCTCCTCGTTCGGTGATATTCAGACGACTTCTCTGTTTGCGCATAATATGATTTCTCATCTGTGCGTCAGCTCCCCTCCTCTCCCTCCTCAATTCCCCTCCCCACCTTTTTTTTTCCTTTTTTCTATTTTTTAACCTTCCTTATAGCAATGCCCAGTAGGAATGCTGAGCTAGGTAGCCCACTTACTATTACTTACTATAGCCCACTATAACAGACAGGCACACATATATACATACAGACACACACACACAAGACACACATGCACACATACAAAGACACATACATACAAATAGACAGGCACACACATACATACATACAGACACACAGACAAGCACACATACATACACACATACAGACACACAGACACACACACAAATCAGACACACACAAGACATACATACAAAGATGCACACACATACAGACAGACACAAGACACACATACATACAAAGACACGTACACACACAACACATATATACAAAGACAAGACACACCTACATACACACATATATACAGACAGACACACACATACACACACACAAGACATACATACAAAGACACACACATACATACAAAGACACATACATAAGACACACATACATACAAATACACATACACACACATACAGACACACACACACAAGACATACATACAAAGACACACACAAGACTTACATACAAAGACACATACACACAAACAAACACACACAAAATATTTTAGTCACCCTCCTGTTTCCTACATTTTAGGTGCAGGAGGGTGACTTTCCCTGGGGTCCAGTGGTGGCTCAGGTGGATGGGAGTAAGAGTTC